CAGGCTAGCTGTAGCTACAGTGAGACCCTGTCTCAAAAATAACAAACAAAAACCAAAAAAATCACTATCATCTTAACTCACTATCATCTTAACTCACTATCATCTTAACTATTTTTAAGCATACAATTTAATAGTATACACACATTCTTTTTTTGAATATTTTATTATTTTTATTTTATGTGTATGAGTATATTGCCTGTGTGTATGTGCACCCATGCCATACATTGCTTGTGGAGGCAAAAAGAGGATGTCAGATCCCCTGGAACTGGAGTTATGGATGGTTGTTAGTTGCCATGTGGAGGCTGGGAACTGAACCTAGGTCCTCTTAAAAATTAGACCTGTGAGTTCAAGGCCAGCCTGGTCTACATAGCGAGTTCCAGGCCAGCTGGGGCTACAGGGAGACCCTGTCTCAAAAAGACCAAAAAAACAACAACAAAAAACTAGATCTGGGGCTAGAAAGATGGTTCAATGGTTAAGAGCACTGGCTGTGCTTACAGAAGAACAGCACTGGCATGGCGGATAACAACTGTCCATAACTCCAGTTCCAGGGGATCCGACACCCTCTTCTGACTTCCACTGTCATTGCATATCATAAATGCACTATATACATGCAGGCAACACACTCATACACAGAAACAATAATCAACTTGGGAACATCCTGTATGACGGCCTGTGTCAGATCTGGATAGCCATCAACTGAATCTAAAAACACCAAAGCTAAACACTCCATTTGGGAGGCAAAACAGATCAAGAATTTAAAATAGCATCAAGCTATTAGCAATTGATGGTGTAAGATAATGAAAGATGACTAGCAACTCAAGAAAAAGTCATTCAAGAAAGGAAATGTGTCCCCCCCATGTGAATAAACAGTGCTAATACAATCATTAAAGTAGAACAACAATTACTGACTGGCAGATTTAGAATATAATTGTAAATAAAGTATGGAAGACTCAAATATAGCTAGAAAACAGATGGAAGGTTAGTGATAACTGACAGAAGGCATCAACCACACAGGTAGGTTTTAGTATTCCTATTTGATAAATGAGGAAACTAGAGATTAACTAACTTGCCCAAGGTTATATAACCAGTAAATGGTAGAAGTGGATTTAAATATGGAAGACCCAGAGTTCATATTCCTTTTATTTATTTTTCATGTGTGTGTACCACAGCACCCAAGTGGAGGTCAGACCTTTTGAGTTTCTTGACTTTCACCTTGCTGAGGCAGGGCCTCTCTTGTTCTGCTGTTCTGTGTACTTCAGCCTACAGGGTCTCTGAGCTCCCCATCTCACAGTAGGAGTCCTGAGAAAGGGTCTCACTCTGCAGCCCTAGCTGGTCTGGAACTTGCCATGTAGGTCAGGTTGGCCTTGAACTCAGAGATCCATCTGTCTCTGAGTATTCTGATTAAAAGTGTGTACCACCATGCCTGGCCCACATCCAGCTTTTTTGTTGTTTTTATTGTTATTTGTTTCATTCTTAGTTTTGTTTAAAAGAATTCTGATAACTCAAGAATGGGTTCAGGAGTTGTGCTGGATAGCTTTAGTGTCAACTTGACACACCTGGGTTGAGGGAGCCTCAATTCGGGAATTGCCTCTATTGAACTGGCCTGTGGCCATGTCTGAGGGGCATCTTCTTGATGAGTGATGTGGGAGGGCCAAGCCCACTGTGGGTGGTGCCACCCCTGGGAAGGTGGGCCTGTGTGGCATAAGAAAGCAGACTGAGCAGGGGTCAGGGGAGCAAGTCAGTAAGCAGCATTCCTCCATGGCCTGTGCTTCAGCTCCTGCCCTGAGTTCCTACCTTGGGCTCCTGGATGAACTGTGATCCAGGAGATGTAATATTTCTGTTCAGAAATATTTCTGTTCTGGTTTGTTTCTTCATTGCTGTGACAAAACACTCTGACCACTACCAACTTGGGGAAGAAAGGGTTTATTTATCTTACATAAAAAAAAAAGTAGACAATGGCCAGAGACAGATTCTCACTCTAAAGCCAGGATGGCCTGGCACTCACTTTGTAGCCCAGGTTGGCCTTGAACTCAAAGCAATCCTCCTGCCTTAGCCTCATAAGTGCTGGAATTATAAGTCATGATCCACCATATTAGTTTAGTTTTTCATACTAAGAAGATTAAAAAAAAAATCTTTGGAAGTAATAGCCAAAGCTTTCTGTAAATACAAAGTATTT